TTGAAATCTTACGATCACGTGTTGCACAAGAAAAATTTACTAAGTACAACATCGGAGGGGGACATGTCCCTTAACTAATACTCATTTTCCAAAATCATAAGCAGCTAATGACACTTGGAAAGTCTGATGTATCTGATGGATGACGTTTATTTCTGCAACATTTCAAGGGAACTTTCCCATTATCAGCTGGATGTTTCAATAAATTTGGGTTTAACAAACTAATTTATGCAAGGTTTCAACTTCTGGCAAAATACCACTGTCTTCCACAATATGTGCTGTGCATTTCTCCTCACCAAATAAGGCAATAAATGTTGTGATGGTATGTCTCCAGTTTTTGACTTGACACATGTAGGTTATATTATTGATATTCATACTTCCTTCAGGGTCTAGTAATGTTACGGTCGGCGTCCAAGTTTGGGTTGGAAGAGCTATTAAATTCTGCTGAGAGGGAGTTTTCACAATTTACCTTACTACAACGATTGCTCTCTTAAGGCTGAACTAAACTGATAGGTGACAATAATTACTTTTTGCTTTCACTCCATATACGACGTATTTCTCCTATAAATAAGTGAATTAACAACAACAATTAATTTCCTAAATAGGGCGAACTTCGATTTAGTGTTCCGAAATGTCACTTCTCCTAATTAAACAACAAATAATTAAATTATCGTTCGAGAATCTCTAGTTTTTTCGCAACCACGGGTCGGAACCGATCTATTGCGTTGACAACTATCTTTAACACAGCTATGGGTCGTTGCCGATCTATTGCAGATAGTTAAGTGTCAAAAACTAGTATCAGCGACGATAGAAATATAATAAAGAATTTCATAATAATTAAAGGATAATGATCAGATCGATCGTTTATTATATCCGAATACTTCAGTATCAAATATTAATTTATATTATCAAGGAACTTACAACAACATGAACGTGAACATCATGAGGATTTTAGACGGTCAGGAAGGGCTCCTTATATACATTTTTCTATCACCAAAATCGCGTTACTTTTTCTACGCCGCAGGACGTGCTCGTTACACTTATCACCAATTTTCCATTACTTTCTATTTTTAGCTACAAAGTAAAGAGGCAAAACCTGGAGTATGGGCCTGAACGAAGAGAAGAGAAAACAAAAGCTCATTTAACAAAAATTAATTGATTGTAGACAAAACGGGGTGGATTTTTAAAGTCAACAGAAAACTTAATAGCTAAACTAGAAAATGGTTTCAAGTGGGGAGAATCAAATGAGATGACTGCTAATAAACACGCGTGTATAGAGTCTTGCAAATCGAAAAGTTTTCGGTGTAATCTTCTAAATTGAGATTCAAAAAGAAAACAAATTGTCATAAACCATGTAAGCTAATGGTACTTTATGAAATAAAATGTTTACGCTAATGTTGAGGTTTGGCAAATGCAGCTCAGCATTAGGAATATGAAACATTTTTTCAAAGTTGACAAAACGACTGTGACGCAACATAAGGTTTAATGGAGGGTGCTTTTAAGAAGAACGAAGTAGTTAATAATCATTGCAGCGTTTAATCAACCCACTTTCCAGCACTCCCCGTGAAATCCAAGTAAAATATGGTGTGTGTTTTTTTTTCAAAAAGGTTGCATGTCTGGTATAATTTTGATCGAGTTCTAACGTCCATGAGTTTCAAAAGGTAATGATTCAAAAGATTACCCATATAGCGCTGCCTCCAACAGTCGAATTTATCCGCAACGATTTTGATAATTATCGGAATGCGACAATTAACATTTGTATTCATTGATAATATGGATTGTCAATGTCGATTTCTCTGACTTCTCGCGACGACTGGTCGCGTTTACCTTAATATTAACACGTTTTAATTTCTGTGAACAATTTTTCGTGACTTGTATATGTTTTCGTACCACAACGGCTAGAGCGTATTGATCAGCACTGACCAACAACGACTTTATAACACAACCCAATAATAACCATCAAATGTTCCTCAACAAGGTATCTCCCCATACGGGTGCCTCCCCACACTGGAAAATCGTCACACGATTGTGTGATCAACTGCAGTGGAACAAAAGACGGTGTAGAATGGAGATCCGCGAAAAAACTCTCTACAGGGACAAAGCTTGCAGATTTAACCCGGCTGCGAGCCAAATTTCGCACCATGGCTGAAATGCGACCGGTTTTACACTTATTCGAGGTTTTCTCTCGCAAACTTTATATAGACGGGTACTTGTGTAAAAAAGACGTGACTAGTGGGCCACAATCAGGATGGGTGGAATATTATATGGAACTGCGTGGCTCATCGCTTAAATTACAGCAAATCAATGAAGAAGGGGTAGATACCAGCGTTCCCTCATCCTACATAAACATTGCAAGCTCTAATGTAAAAATCATTGGAACTATCGAGGATGAAACTCCGGTGCGAACTAACGTTCTGTTGTTAGACACTGGTCAAGGTAACGAATACTTGATTCAGGCGCCGGATGAGGATAAGCTTATCGAGTGCGTTCGTGCAATTCAATTGTCTTGTTTCGAGGGATCAAGACTGAATGAAGTATTTACTGCAACATTACTGAGACGTCCAGGATTCAAAGAAGTCCTTTCTTCCCCAGTTTTAACAAAGGGAAAGTTTGAAGGATACCTGCAGGTTCGATTTGCTGGGGAGAAAGAATCTAAGAAATGTTGGGTGACTGTAAGCGATCACAGAACTGATGAGAAGAAAAAGAAGGACCTGACATTTAACAGGGGAATTGCAATGTTTTACGAATCTAAGAGATCCAGAAAGCCGTTTATGTCGTTAGCTAACGTGTTACAAACTTATGTCACGTTCCCCGGAACTACTGCATTAATTGATAGAGTAAATGAATTCTGTGTAGAAGGGTCACTTTTCCCATCAGACACGTCTCAGGACAAACCAGGAGATTTTGTGATTCTGACAGCCGATTCACCAACTGAAATGGCAAAGTGGCTTATAGCCTTCTTTGACAGTTTTAAGTTGTACGGCAGACCAAAAGAGCTTTTGTACGATTTTAAAGATCCCGCGTCTCCTTTTTTCGCCGTCCCTACTGATAAAAGTAACGTAACGCTATTTTTGACATTACAAGACGTTGAGCATGTCGACGTCAGGGAATCGTCTGCAGACGTGAGGGCTGAGTTTGCAGAAATTGTCAGGAAGAATTTTGCGCAATTGCAAAACACATCTTTAACTCCGGATATACCTGTACATCAATCTTCGCTCACAACTCAAAATTCTACTTCCCTTAGTCCGAATGCTCAAAGAAAATCCTTCCTCGGCTCCGGTTCACCTCGTCAAAGTCGGTCAAGGGAAAGATCAGTATCGCCACTACCGTCCCCAAGGATCACTCCTCCGGCGATCAGTTCACCGACTTTGAAAAAGTCTCTAACAGGGCCAGGGTCAAAAACAGTAGTGGCGGCTAAGGGTCGACATACGCAAATTCAGAGTGATGATGACGACGACGATGATGATGATGACAATGAAGCTGACGACGCTGATAATGATGATGATGATGATGATGATGATGATGATGATGATGATGACTACGATGATGATAAAAAGAGAAATGATGAAGGAAAGGAAGAAGCTACAAAAAGTGAATCCGAGGGAGAAAATACAAATGAGGAAACAGGCGAAGAGTCTGGGGATGATGCCCAAACGTTGCGGCGTAACACTGAACAAAACGCAAAGACGCTTTCGTTATCGACTTTAGATTCGACAGTGAATTTGATGCCTGATTCATCAGTTGTTGACTCGCCGATTGGTGGAGATTTGATGTCTGAAATTATGACTGCCTTTGAAGAGCAGAAGGACAAAGCACAACAATTCATCGAGTCGTCGAAAAAATCTGTGGATAAACCCAAGCGGTCTGTGTCTTTTAAAAATCCGCCAAATCAAAAGAAAAAATCGCGTAAAAAACTTGACCCTCTTCCATCAGACAGTGATGAAAAGAAGAGTGAGGAATATTCTAGCGTTGCAAGTGACGAAGAAAGTGATGATGTTGTAGACGTTGATGCTAGGAAAGGTAAGGGAAAAGCAAAGGAAGAAACGCCGATATCCTCAAGTCGAGATCCGGATAATAAACGCAAAAAGGCAAAGATTGTTCCACAACCTTCTGATAGCGAAGACAGCGAAAATGATAACGAACACGAACCTATTAGACCTACTTCACAGGGACATTCTCGATTGAGACCATCAGACATTCCCGGTAGACAAGAATATAGTTACAGGCATGATGATCAACCTTTGGCTAGACCGTATAGGGCATCGTCACCTTATGGCCAACCGCACGGTTATGGTCAACCCTTGCCTCAATATGCGCCGCATGGTCACGATCATAGATATCGACAATCTCAAGGATATTACCCTCCTGGAGCAGGCGGTTATGGCAGGGACGAATTTTATGATGACGACTTGCATCCCTTGGCTCAATCAACTGCCAAAGGTCGTCAAATACGAACCGCCTTACCCGATGACCCGCCCCGAGGTCGACCAAAGGGAAAGAAACCCTTAAAGGGTCATCAGATGGTTGCAATAGACATTTACGAAGATGTTGACGGTGGTAGTGATGTAGAGGGCTTAGAAGAAGATAATACAGAAGTTGCACCAAAGAAAAAATCTAAAAAGAAGAGCAAGTCCTCTGGAAAGAAGAAAAACAAAAAGAAAAATAAAGCCGAGTCGAAACAGGTTACGGAAGCTTTGGATGTTAATATACCTGACATTGGCTCTTTGTCGTTAGATCAAAGTAAGAATGAGAATAAAGATAATTCCGAAAAAGACGCCTCGGAATCTTCTGATGATGATAGAATAAATAAGTCTCGAAGGGTTTTTAAACCAACTAAATCAAGCGAGCGAAGGAACATTACTAAGGGACAGATCCAAAACTCAAGCGAGTCAGATAAAACTGAAGACGATTCCGAATCTGACGAAGAGCAACCACTTGTTTTGTTGGTTTCTGAAGATGGAGTGCCGCCACATAGCCCCTTGAATTACCCTCGGGGTGCATTTAACACATCTTCCCGGTCACCATCACCCAATTATGCATTAGGGCAACGGTACAGTAATGTACCCCCAGGTGATTATTATGAAAACGAGTATTTAGACCCAAGAGGTAGTTATGGTGAAGGAAGACGGAGTTCTCGTGGGTTCGATTATTACGACGATGATCGAATTAATGTACCGGGTGGTTTAGGTGGACGACCAAGGTCAGCAATGAATGTACCAGTAGCTGGACGTCGACGAATAAGTGGTGGGGCAGCGGATTATGTGCGTGATCAGTATTACGATGATCCATATTATGACGATCGTGGTAGCAATCCATTCGCCGCTCCACAACATTTTCGACCAATGTCGCTTCTTGGCTCATTAAGCAATTCACAGCTTTCAGCCCGTCAGATGGAAACGTTAGCACGGGAGAGTGGGACCACTTTGATTCAATTAGAAGAGAAACCGAAAGATCCAAGGGCAGGATTGGTAGGGGCAATAACAGCACGAGAATATGCTCGCAGAGCTGCTGGAGCCAATACTATCTCAAGACAGGCGGAGCTGGAGAGAGAACGTTTATTTGAAAAAGAGCGCGAACGAAGACTTGCTGAGCAAAGATATTTGGCTCGCTTATCCGAAAATAGGCATTCTGCGTATATGGATGGGGGCGATCCCAGAATGAGAATGTATCCGGATCAGCCTCATTGGGATGGTTATCCGCCGTATCAGGATAATTATGAAAATGACGAAGAATGGTATGAAGAAGAATATGATGAAAATGATGATGTACCCATAGGGAGAATCACTGCTTCAACGCCCCAACCCCCAAGACAACCACGAAAACCAGGAAGGCGACGAGACATTGAATAGACATGAACATTGAAATAAGTTTCGGAATTAATTAGTTCATACAATTAGATGATTAGCCTAAGTTATTTCTCATCCTTGTCAGTAATGGTAATTCATCTGTAGAATTCATCAGTAGAACATTTTCATTTATCTTATCGAAAAAAAAAATTATAATATCCTGACATCAATGCGCATTGTTTATTAATCATATAGATAAAAAAAATAACATGGACATTCTGCAATTCAGATAGAAAAGCGAAACTCTAGCAATGGCGCTGATTGGAGAACTTTAAACACCAAGGAAGAGATATAGAATTGGGTTTTATACTTCATATTGTTAGGTAGCGTCTACATACAGCGTTCATTTGTGATTGAGTGATACGTAAAATCATAAACAATGTATTATAATTTATAAGTTAGGTTGCAAACTATATTTTTCTTTTCTTTTTTTAATTAATGTTGTACAGGCCGATAAATAATCCCAATACTGTCAATGAGTGATCCAGCAGTTCCATGGATGCCGACCATCTCATGTCCCTCTGGTGCACTTAGGACAGTCAGTTCACAACCACCCATTCCACCCCGCCATCCACTAGTTCTTCCCAGATTTGTTTTAAATTCAATGCCATCAACATAAATTCCGGCCTTTACCATCAATGAGACCAATTTCTCTCTCTTTGTTAATTCAAACTTGCTCGCTGAGCCCCCTTTGCCACCGATCGAAACGTTCTTCTTATTAGACCAATAGAATTTTAATCCATCCAAAAAAATTCCCGAGTTAATTCTAACTTTGGAAACATGCGCGTTAGATTTGGGGAATATAACTTCAAACTTGCTACCACCACTTGATCCCAAGGTGCCGCTTTTCAATGCTAGCCCAATATCCGGGTAAAGGTTTCTGTGGGTTTCTAGGAACGAATGCGCATCAACTAAAGTATGCTCTTCTTGGCCCGTTGTTATAATGGCTATGTCAAGCCTCTGCCCATTTTTCCATCCGACTTGCTTTTTAATGTGATCAATTTGTAATCTCCATTCATGTGGCTGTTCATCAGGAAATTCAAAATGGGTCTGAAACTGGTCGTCCAGCTTTACTTCAATGAGGGAAATTCCCGCCATGCATTTAACTAGGACGGAATCATCCACTGGCCAAAAGGTGGGATACGCGTGCTTGTAATCGTGATCATTTGATGGATCGGTTGCAAGTCGAAAGCAAGGATGGAAACGAAGCCGCATGACATCACATCTGTGCCAATGAGCACCGTTTTCGTCTTGAGGAAGAACGGGCGTATTTCGATGAGGCTCCTTGACAGTGAACGTACGGTTCAGATTGTTATAACCTCTGCTCATTATCCCTAAACAAAATCGTGTATTAATGACAAGACTGAAAATAAACCTGATTTTTGTGACAGCTCTAAACCAAATTACCTGATTTTGAATGAGGCAAAGTCAATGCGTGTCCTACTTCATGTAACTAACAACGCAAAAGACTGTTTAAAACACGTGGGGAGGGGACAACCTGTCTTTTTATTTAAAATTGTTATCGCTTACCATAGCGCCAATGCCAATATTACAACACTTCCACCAGGTATAACTTTCTCCATTATCGTTTGCCAAATCTTGAGTAATATTTGTGTCATCTTGGAAACAACTTACGACTTGCTCAAGACAACGCGGCCAAGCGTGCGTGAGATGACTCCCGAATATGCCCAAACGTATGTGATCAGCACCACCTCCTAACGCAGCATGTCCCCTAATCAAATCCATTGCGGGATCATAGTGACTGTCCAAAATTAAACCGGCAACATAACATTGGCGATCAAACGGCGGTCCATAATCTCTCAATGCTTCCATGAATATAGCAAATAGGTCCTTTTTCTTTGGGTTTGGAGTGCCCGGTGGTCTCTTGTACTGTTGAGCGCGGTCTGGATCGAGCAATTCCTCTTTCGTGTATTTGGTACGTATTATGTAGATTTTGGCTGTCTCGCGCAGAGACGTTTCCTGATTAGACATGGTGTCTATAAGAAAAAAAATTGAAACAGAGAGCTTGTTAACGCGGCACAGCATGATAATAATTCTTGCAGTAAGCATTTATGTTATTCAAATTTATACGAATTAAGGGCATTCTCTCTCTCTCTCTCTCTCTCTCTCACACCTGGTTGCCATTCCTCATATAATCGAAAAACCCTATTTATCAAGTTGGAAGAATTAACGTTGAACCAAATATGACTAAACCCCAAACTGATGAGCTTCTCTTAATTGTGAGTGAATGAGAGAGCGCGTACCTTCTACCGAAACCATTGCGATGCATCTGTTCGGCCGTAAATGCTTGCCATAGATAACCAGCACATCTTAGTTTTTCTTTAACAGATTCTAATCCAGCATCTCCAGATTTGCGTTTCTCCGTTGGAGCATCAATGACAAAATCCGAGTCTGCTGCTACTAGAATTGCAAGATGTAACGGGGGGTTTTGTAGCAATGGAAGATAGTTTACTAGAAACTTGGTGGTAGCCGGGGTTGTTTGATTCAAGTGATGTGGAGGATTAAATGTAAACGTCAATTCGTTCGGACCTGTCGATAAAAAATCATGAGGAGCGTGTTTTAAAAAAAAAAAAAAAGTAATTAAAAAGCAAAAGAATCAATTTGCCTGGATCGAGATGCACGAGGCACTTGAAATGTGAGTTAAACACTGGCCAATCGATTGATGGGAATGTCTCTTTATGATGGGTGACTGTGATTGTAGATTCAAATTCTGATTCGCTTTGCCCCGCTCGGCCATAGATCAAGAGCATAGGCTATGTATGAAGATGATAAATTCATTGTTTAGGAAGATAAGGTTGTCAACTTGCTTTATTATTACGTACATTAACGATAACCTAACCTGATGTACCCATTCTCCATCATTAACGTTAACTATTACGGGGGCAAGGGGGTTGGCTTTTTCTTTACTCAAAACTTGCGTCATTAGAAGAGTAGAATCATAGTATTGTCATGTCGTGTGATTTGATGATCATTAATCATGTGTTCACTTTGCGCAGTTGTTTTAATTCCGGCCTCATTTATTGTACAATTATGTTTTTAAAAATTAAATATTCTGTATATAAATAGTAGAATGTAATGTTGTTTACTATTACAATGCGTCCATGGTCTAAAATTACGTCTATGTCAGTTCAAAATCAGAATATGATACATCCATATGGACACGAATATAATACATTTTGTATTATCACACAAATACTTGAGCAAGGCCAAGCGTAGTCGTGTATGGGACTAACATTATTGAGGAAAGGAAAAAAAATATCAGCCCAAGAGCTATAGATATCGGGAGTGCAGGCAGCGCTTTCTGATAAATGGCTAATAGGAATATGGTAGCATTTAGACCCTGTTCATGAAATTGAAAAGTTTAGTCGACATCTCGTCGCAACAATTGGCAGCCGATATCAAGTATAAAAAAAACCATTTATACATACCGTTAATATTGCCACTGCACAGGCTATCGTAGTTATCCAGTCAAACATTGCTATAAAAAGCAAAAAAAAAAGTGTTAGTAATTTCAGGCAGTTGTACTGGAGTTATACCGTAATCGACTATAATTAAACTTACCTGCCCGAGCAACCAATACGCTATAGAATACAAAATCACCCAGCCCAAGTTTCAATCCACTCCCTGCTTCTAAAAATGTTGTCGATGAATGTTAGCACAGTTCATGCATTCACTGTAACAGTCTTCTAATACGTTCTGAAGACTAACCTTCATCGTCATCATCGTCACCACCTTCATTATTCGCAGTCTCTTCATCGTTATTGTTGCCAGTGTCCTCTGTAATTACAGTGTCACTTTGTACTATAGTATCATCGTTAATCATACTGTTGTTAGAATGTCTTGGATTTTCGGATAATGGTATATGTTCTCCAGTCTCGGTACTCAGTTGGCGCATGTGAAAAGTAGATGCGGACGATAACGGTGGTGAAGCTTGGAAGTGATCAAGGGTTGAAGACGTGCGGCGTGTCGTAATCGACAAATCTGGAGACGCCATTAGCCATATAGTGTTGACTAGTTCCAAGAATGCCATAGAATGTAGGAATGAAATTATTATGAGCTAACCAGACGTTAAACTGAGGTATGATGAATTATAGTATACCTGTATATAATAGTGCGGGAGGCAGTCCACGTTTTTCTTCCTTAGAGCTTTCAACCAAGATCCTCAATGGCCCAAAGGGACATAATACAGCAATTAAATCTAAGCAAATATACACTATTAATATAACGAATTTGTCCCTTGTGAATGAATCAATGCAGATATGCTCACCCCAAATAGATAGTAACCCTAGCAGAATCCAGGTTGTCCATGATGATAGCTGAGAGAGACTGAATGCCTAAAAGGGTGTATCGTCTCGTCAGCAGTCGAAACTGACAATCGACAATTTATCCACACATACTCACCGTTAAACTAGACATAACAACTAGATATATTTTTTGTAAAAGTGCAGGACCTTTCCAGAATACCGATATCAACCCAACAACTGAAAAATTCCATAAAGCAAAGAAAAATGTAACATAGTCCAACGGTATGGAAAAGGCTTGCAATATGTTTCTAGAAACCAAGATTAAGTAAGTTATGGGCATTCAAAAGCATTCGCGCATTAAGACTGCTAACACATACTCAAGTAGAAGATAACCCATAAATCCGAGGAGTAAAATGACTGTAATCACTAAGATTCCTTTCAGAATCTGATCCAAAAAGAATGTGAGCGTATATTACAAATAACAAGTGACTGTGCCCAAAGTTGAATGAAAAGTAAACGACTACTGACCTTCATATGTCCGTATTTAAACAAGCATACCAGTATAAAAGTAGCGATAATAACCTGTGATATGATTATTGCTGCAGTCACAAATGAGTCAAGTATATCCTTTGAACTTGACGAATTCCCACCCGATGAAAAATATGTAACAGAGTTTTGTTGACTGAAAAAAATCAGATGTCAATATTCAATATTCAATATTCAATATGCAGATGCAGGAAAGTGTTTACAATCATTTCGATTAACAATCACCTAGGATCTGACGATGGAAACGATATCTTGATCCATAATACTGATAAACATATACAAAAAACAACGGGTTTTAATATTCGATAAACCTGTTGTATGTAAAACCTAAACTCTTGAGCTTGCTGATCGGAAAGTTCTTCTGTCACGGCTGCTGCTGATGGAGCTCCCGCGGACTATCAATTTCATAATAAATGTTAAAATAGAAATACTACAATATTACAAACTATTCACAACGACTAAAAGTCCAACCTGTTCCCCGACACCCGTCAAAGTTTCCTC